ATGAGGACAATAGTCTGAATAATGTAAATAGTGTACATAATATCTCATCTCAGAAATATACATAGATACTGAAAGGCCGAAACGTTGTAATAAATATGGCGACAAATATGAGGACAGTAGTCTGAATAATGTAAATAGTGTACATAATACCTCATCTCAGAAATATAGACAGATACTGAAAGGCTGAAATGTTGTAATAAATATGGCGACAAAGATGAGGACAATAGTCTGAATAATGTAAATAGTGTACATAATACCTCATCTCAGAAATATAGACAGATACTGAAAGGCCAAAACGTTGTAATAAATATGGCGACAAAGATGAGGACAATAGTCTGAATAATGTAAATGTGTACATATTACCTGATCTCAGAAATATAGACAGATAAGAAAGGCCAAAACGTTGTAATAAATATGGCGACAAAGATGAGGACAATAGTCTGAATAATGTAAATAGTGTACATAATACCTCATCTCAGAAATATAGACAGATATTTCTACTGGACTTGAGACACCTGTTTTCCTAAGTAATAGTTTTAAGATAAAGTGTTTCAATAGCGGCTGCTTGGTCAATGGATGGCAAATGTTTCCTTTTAAAGAAACGGATAATTCACCATTTATATATAACACGCTAGAGTCTTACTGGGAGTTTCACATTGGCTTTCTCAAGAAAAAACTTCCCCTTGAACGGATCGTTGAACAGTGTCGATGGCTCTGGTGATGAATAGCACCCTTGTAGGCAGGCTTCTTCTACCTGTACTCTGGGTGTACAGGTACATTTGTTCTTCTCTATCCTCTATATCACTCACGTTTGACCTCATCCAGGCCTGCTAAAAGACTAGAGGGATGTGGTTTTGATACAGCGCCACTCGGTGTGGGACCTTGCTACAAAGGTATCAGTCAGGATGTGAAGAAAGATAGCGTCCATGTGTCCAAGGTCAAGACGATCCTCCCAGATATCGGAGGAAATCGTCTTTGGCATGACATGGAGAGGGAAGAAGGCCACCAGTCTCTATTAGCCCACGATACAAGTTAAAACCAGGAACAATATACTTGATGGGTTGAGGAAATTATCAATCCGCAATTAAACGATGTTAGGTCATAGCGTTTGTTAGCTATCAGAGCTACATCAGTATTATGTATAAGTCAGCGATCGGAAACAGAGAGTTGCGTATCAATAGCATTTCATAAACTGCTGGGAGCTGTGAATATTTGCTAGCACGCAGACAATACATTGGCAGAATGAAGCTTTAGGAAACTTTTTTTCGAATCACGACAACGCAATGTTTCCATGCAGTCAAGAAGCAGTTCAAAAGTGAAAAATCTGAAATTCACAGTTGTTGCTCCATTTTGACACCACCAGACTGTTCCTGAAATTCAAAGAGCCATTAAAAGGTCAACCTTTTACATTCGATGCCAAAGTTGAGATTATCATGCGCAATTTGGTAAAATTCTAACAAAAAGATTTGTTCGTATAGAGAAAGAAAAATAGATATACTTACAGGGAAAAATGATAGTAATTAAACTGAAAATTAAATTTATAAATTTTGTAATTAAATAAAAATTCTTTCATTTTTGTAGTATTTCCATCATTTTATCTTGCATAAGATTTCTTTCATGAGATTAGGAGATTTAAATATCAGCCCTAGTAATTTTGCAGAGAAATCAGTTTAATTTTGATGACAGTATTATTATTCTCTATAATCTGAACTTTTATTTAATAGCATTAAAGATTTAGTTATCAACCCCGTAACTTTGCAGATTAATCTATTTCCTACATTTTTATATCGGTTTATATATTGTACTAGCAGCATGGCCTGGCGTTTCCCGTGCTTGATTCAAAAATCGTACGACTCATACAGCAGTCGCTATCACTTGACTTAAAATATTTTTGCCCTTCTTTGCCTTTAAAGGAGTGCCCTTTGCCGTGATGATGTTGCTACGTGCCTTACTTCTTGCCTATCTCACACTGCGAATTTTTTTTAAGCTCTATACTAGACATTAAATCTGTTACGAAAAAAAGTACTAAACAAAATGAACACAAAACGATCAGCTTTAAAAAAGGACTCGTAACTGGAAAAACCGAATGAAAAAAGAATGTTAACATTAAATACTTTTTCACACCCAACCCAGTTCTGAGGAATCAGAATCAACGTTGAGTTTAAGCAAGCGAATGAGCCAATTGGAGTAAAGTGCCATGCAGATTTAAATTTTTCCCACTTGTGACGAATGCAGCTATCGATTTTTTGCATGCTAACATGCTAGTTAACATTCGTGTCAGTCAGATGCTGGCCAATAGAATCTTCCTGCCTATTCGTGGCAGCCAGCTATTGGCTCTCACTCTGGCCAGTACAAAATGGCCGCAAACTACATGAAAACTGCTGTAGAAGCATGAAAAAATCGATTATTTCCACTATCGATGGGAGTTGTGAAATGCAAAGTCGGTCTCGGCCTTTGCGCTAACTTTGAGCATGTGCATGTAAATTTTGGTGCAAATCCGTCGAAAATTGCGGCCGTGCATTCGTTACACACACACACACACACACATCCTGCCTTTTATAGATAGAGATATAGACAAAACATTTTTCAGACCTTACCAATCAATCATTGGAATTTTGTAGAGAAATCAATGCCTTTCATGTTGATGTTTCTTTCATTATTCTATCTAGTCTAAAAATTGTTTCATAGAACTGAAGACTTACTTATCAAATAATGCTTGGATTTTTGTAAAGAAATCAATTTCCTTCTGTTTGATCCCACTTCTATTAGTCAATCTGGTTTGAAACGTTAAAGACCTTACCTGTAATCAAGCCATATATCTTTGACAAGAAATCCGTTTACACCAGTGGTTCTCAACAGATTTGGGCCATGCCTCACTTTAGTATTTTTTAAATTCTGGTGCCCCCCCCCGGTAATATTTAATTTTTACATATTCAAAATTTTACTGCAATTCACGTGAAGAAATCATAAAAGGCCATTAACTTCGTCTATAAAAAAGCCTTCCAAGACCAAAAAAACAGTTAAATATAAATATAGTTTCAAAACATATAATAGAGAACTGAAAGACAGAAATATAAAATATTTGAATGAAAGTTTATTCTGTAATATACTTTGATCATTTTAATCATGAAATAATAATGCAAAAATGAAATTTGAGCTCCTCACAAAATGACTGTTAGTGAGATCCTTGTGCGTCATGTCTGCTACAGGTTGATTTTATATTAGGCACCAATTTAGTCAGCTTAAGTCTCAAGTCTCCTCATTTAGTGATATCCAGTTGATTTCTTTTCTTTAATAACAAATTATCGACAGCACTAAAGTTTCAAAACATATAATAGAAAACTGAAAGTCAGAAATATAAAATATTTGAATGAAAGTTTTTCTGTAATATACTTTGATCATTTTAATCATGAAATAATAATGCAAAATGAAATTTGAGCTCACTAGAAAACAATTCACTGTTAATAACTCATTCTCGAATTTCCCCCACCCTATTCTGTTGATATAGTAAGCCAAAGGGTGCACATCCTATGCATATCCCACCCAAATATTACCATGACCCTCCGGTTGGGCATGCGCCCCTCGTTGGGAATCATTGGTTTACACCATTTTGATAACAGCTTCACTATTCTTTCTGGTCAAAAATTGTTTTATAGAAATCATACTTATCAGTCTACAATTTTTATTATTCTATCCGGTCTAAAACTTGTTTTATAAGACTTACGGTGTAACTGATCAGTCAGCTTTCGTGATGTTTAAAATAAATAATTCCTAATAAATCAGCTTTCTGTTGCCGTTAAAATAATATCATGTCTGTTGGTGATATACTTTAATTAAAATGCAATTATGACATTTTCTCTGCGTATGATTAGAGTTAAATATTAAAAATTATGACATTTTATTTGCCAAGTATTCAAAAACGGGAAATCTTCGCGAGAAAAATATAGTAGACTGATGAATTTTTTTAAGCGTTTCACCCCAAGCAAGGCAGGAAGCCAATAGGATGCAAGGGGTTACAGAAGATTTGAAGCAAGATAGGAATGATAGAGGAAAGGATAAGGAGAAGGATAGTGGATAGATCAAGGCAACTGGAGATGTCGATTGACATTACATTTGAATAGCTGGAGATTATAGCTCTCAGGGAAACAGGAATAGGGAAGGGAGTTCCACAGGCGAGAGGTGCGAGACATGAAGCTATTGGAGTAGAAGAAACGGCTACATTTAATAGTTTCAACAGTGAAAGGGTGAGAGTGGGATGCCAGCCTCGTAGGGCGCTTGAATTCATGAAATCTGGGAACCAGCGAATGCAGCTCGTCGGAGCAATTACCATAAAAGTATTTGTAAAAAAGACAAAGGGAGGCGACGGCGCGTCTGTGAGAGAGCGATTGCAGACGAGATGCCAGATAAGGGCTAATTACATTGCATATCCGTCTCTGGATCTTATCAAGAACCTTGAGACAAACAGAAGTGACACCGGACCATATATGGCAGCAATACTCCATGCAAGGGTGAATGGTTGATTTGTAGATCTGGAGGATCGATTTCCGTTTTCCTTAAGACCATAGATGTAGATGATGAAATAAAGCAATATAGATATGGTTCCACGGAAAGAGGCTGAGATTACAATGGCCGAAGCATATGAACAACGAAGAAAATAATAATAAAAATGATTCTTACACGTATAGAGTCAGAAAGAGAAAGAATTTGGCACTCATAGGCTATATTACAAGCAATTGATTGACTAATTCGGTTTCTACGTCTTATCAACACTTTGCTGGTTATTTAAAACCAGAAAATATTTTAGATTATAAGATTTTTTTTAGATAATAATAGATTAATGGTACAAAGCTCACTAATTAAACCAAAGCTGAGGAGAAACTTTCCAAAGAGTATTTGCGCTTGTAATTGGAAAGAACCTAAAAAACATTGTGACTCAGCTGTCAGATTAACAATCCCGAGCCATAATCCATTACACCACCAGCACGTCCAAGCTTATAGGGCCGGGTATTCCCAAGCGGTTACCCATCAAATTACTGACCAGGCACGTCGTTGCTTAACTTCGATGATAATAACGGGAAGCGGTGTTTCAACATGACGGGTCCGGAAACCTTGCGCATCATCGAAGGCACGTTGTATTTAGTTTGGGGGATATGTAATGTTGTGGTGGGGTGATGATTCAGACCTGCTTGTTATCTCCAATGTTGTCACACCGTTATGGTTAACGATATGATTAACGATATGGAGAACGATATGGTCAAGGATATGGTCAATGATATGGACAACGATATGATTAATGATATGTTTAATGATATGGTTTACGATATGGTCAATGATATGGTCAATGATATAGTCAAGATTATGATTAATGATATGGTCAACGATATGGTTTACGATAGAGTTTACGATATGGTCATTTATATGATCAAGATTATGATTAATGATATGGTCAACGATATGGTTTACGATATATTTTACGATATGGTCATTTATATGATCAAGGATATGATTAATGCTATGGTCAACGATATGATTAGTGATATGGTCAATGATACGGTCAGTGATATAGTCAAGGATATGATTAATATGTTTAACAATATGGTTTACGATATGGTTAAAGATATGGTCTATGATATGGTCATTTATATGGTGAAGGTTATGATTAATGCTATGGTCAACGATATGATTAACGATATGGTCAAGGGTGTCGTCAAGGATATGATTAATATGTTAAACAATATTGTTTACGATATGATTAACGATATGGTCTATGATACGGTCAAAGATATGGTCAAGGATATCATTAATATGTTTAACAATATCCACTGGTCTACTCCAATAGCTCCATGTCTCGCACTTCTCGTCTGTGGAACTCCATTTATCATGCTTGCTTCCCTGAGAGCTAAAATCTCCAAATATTCAAAGCCAATGTCAAATCTCCAGATGCGTTGATCTATTCCCCGTCCTTGTCTTCATCCTTTCCTCTATCACGCCTCTTTAGTCCTACTCTCTGTAACCCTTTGCGTATTAGTGACACACCTGTCTTGCTTGGGGTGTGTTGTGTCGGAAACCTACCACCCCTCTGAAAGATGAACTTGTCTGTGAACAAAGACTTTAAATAGTGGCATGTCAGTTGACATGGAAGAGAGCTAGACAGAGAAGTTCTTAGCTGAGCTAGTTATTGACAACTCAGGCGATTTCTGTACCTATTTACCAACCTATTAAAACCCTTCTTATTGTTACGTGTTATTTGGCGTTTGTCTCTACTAACCCCAAATCAACATCATAACAGGGTGAAATGAGTAAAAAAATCCAGTTGATATCGTTTAATTAAACCGTAAATAAAACTTAAGTGGCGTACCATATGTTGCTCATATGTTTTTTTGTTTTGTTTTTTGTTTTTTTTGTTTTGTTTTGTTTTTTGTTTTTTTTTGTTTTTTGTAACACGCGTACTGTGCCGTTTTCGAAATATTACATAGTTCGGGTTCTCTAATGTCTTTTAAGAGTGACTTTATGTGAAGGGGTCATAAAGAAATAGACTTTTAAATGAAAATAAAAATTGCCAGTAAAATAACTGTAAACAAACTACGGAGATCGATTGCGTATATGAAGAAAGATTATGCCGAATTAAGGTATCGAATAAAGATAAAATAATTTTATTATTTCTAAATTCTTATAACTTTTACGTACATAGGACGCTGAAGGTAAATGGTTGAATGTTCAAAAGATCTAAACAGAAGCTAGCTTAAATTTCACCAGAAGGGCTGCTTCTCGTTTAGTTGAGTATCATTAATTTAGATGAGTATGTGCGTTCTACATCTTCACTTCTACATCTTTTCTACGTCTTTTCTACATCTTTTCTACGTCTTTTTTATATCTTTTCTACGTCTTTTCTACATCTTCCCTAATTGATTTACTATCCATTTTCTTCCAATGTAACGTTACAAGTTAATGTATTTGCAACGATGCAAGGTAGCATTATTTTGTTTTTTCATTTCCCTCCAAGCAAGGCAATAAGACCACTAAGACGCAAGGGGTTACTGAATGTAATGGAATATGAGAAAAAAACACTATTATGGAGAAAGAACGATAAAATAATCAAGAAGAGGGAATATAAGAATAAACACGGCATTTTGAAGGTCAAATTTGATTGAAAAGCAAGACAATCAGAGCAGCGTGACGGCGGCAGCAAAGTAACTGAAGCACCCGTCTGTAACTGGGATCAGCTATCCATTCTTATAGATGAGCAAAGTTGAAAACGAGCCTCCAGAAAATTATTATTTACGCGATACAGTCCGTCTGAAGTTATTATGCAAATCACATAACTTGCTCAAAGATGTCCGCATAATAACATCCTACAGCAATTTTTATAATAAATCCAAATAAAATATCTTGAAACTACGTAAAAATTTAACTCAGGATTTGTTTGGACTTTTAAATTACTCGTTTCAAATCTGACAGAAATTGTTCTAAGCAAATTGAGTTGTTGAGGTTTACGTGAATTGCATAATAAATTCAGACGGACAGTATTGATGATGCACCAATGCCGGGTAATATTTTATTATTCTGTTGAGACAGCTCGAACATTGATGAGTCTATTGCGCCAAATATCACGGCCCTACATCAAGGTCGGAAGTTCATCAGGGTGGCATACTGTGTCTCTAATAGTTGGACAATGTAAGTAATTGCTGAGCAACCAATCAATTTTGTGCCATGGTTAGGTGTCCAGAGCAGTAGATCACTCGACCTGCATAGCACATCCTTCGTTCACGTAAATATCAGGGATGGGTCTATAGAGGTTTGAATTAGTTGGATGTTGTCTCCGAGAGATGCTAATTATAGTTCTCAGCATCATGCTTAGACTCAAGAGTATTAGTTAATGTCCAAGCAGTAGCACCATACATTAACATCGCCTCTACAGTGGCTCGAAAGAACGTCTTTTTGAGGTTCTCTGGTAGATAGTATTTACATCCATTTTATTCAAAGTAGCCCAGGCTTTTAACTATGCAAATTTTCACACACTTTTCAGTAGAATCAAATTCCTTTACTTAAACATTATAAATGGCAAGTTGTAATGATGTTTATGGCCATATCATGTTCAAACACTGGTTCTTATACAATGATGGTAGATGGATTTCTCATTGATTTTTACATGTAATTCCAATAGTTGTTTGGATAGTAACAACCAAGAATCTTGTTTTTATAGCCACTGTGTATGGTAACAAATCACTTGTAGCAAAGAGAGACAAATTCACATGAGATGATCATCAAAGAAAAAACATGGTCTGTATAGAAGCTCAAATTTGATTGGTCAGATAAATTAAGCCAATCAGAAATACAAATAGAAAAAAGAATTTGTTAAGCAAGATGGAAACAAACATGACTCAAACAATAATGTTTAGACACCAAACACAGAGAAAGAAACAAAAATGAAGAAAATTTTTTTATATCCCTATATGGTATTTATCTGTTCAAGCTAGTTCAGACATTTATGAGCCTATCACACCAACCATCTCAGTCCTACATCAAAGTTGGAAGGTCATTAGGAAGGTATTCTGTGTCATAACATAGCTGGTCAACGCACATGGTTGCTGGGTGACCAATACATCTTGGCCCATGGCTAGGTGCCCACTGCAGTTGATCACTCACAAGTTCTTATTTTGCTCAACAGCAGTGTCCTTCAAAGTGCATTCTGTATGTGCATAAGAGTGTAGAAATATCAGGGATGGATCCATAGAACTGTAATTTAGTTGGATGTTATCTCCAAAAGATGTTAAATATAGCTCTCAGCATCCAAGTGTAAGTTCCATCAAGCTTAGACTCTAGTATTTTTTTAGTTAATGTCCAAGCAGTGGCACCATACATTAACACCTCCTCTACAGAGGCTTGAAAGAATCTCTTTTTGAGGTTCCCTGGTAGATAGTGTTACCTGATTGCATCCATTTAATTCAAAAACTTTCACATACTTTCAGTATAATTTATTTCTCTTCCTAGGTAGGTAAAAGATTCAGATTGTATTGATTCTTTTGAGACACTTTGTATTGACCTTTTACTAATTAGAAAGGTTTTTTATGCATATCACCGCAAGCAAGGCGGAAGTTCTACTGGCACTCAAGGGATTAAAGAGTTTGAGAGTAAGAGTAAAGAGGGGTGTTTGAGGGAAGGATATAGAGAAAAACGTGGATCAGGATCAAGACATTAGAAGATGTCGATTGACATTACATTTAAATTTTTGATTATAGCTGTCAGGGAAGCAAGTAAGATGAAGGAAATTCCACTGGCAGGATGTGCAAGAGAAGAAGCTGTTGAAGTATAAGTGGCGGTTACATTTAACTGTTTCGACAAACTGTTTCGACAGTGAAAGGGTGGGACCGACATGCCAATCGAGTAGCACGTTTAAATCCATGCAGTTGGGGTACCAGTGAAAATAGCTCACCAGAGAAGTTGCCATGAAAATATTTGTAGAAAAGACAGAGGGAAGCCACATCACTTCTGTGAGAAAATGACTGTAGACGAGATGCCAGCTCAGGACATTGAATATTCGTCTTTGGATTTTGTCGAGGGCCTCGAGATGAACAGTGGGGGCACCAGACCATATATGGCAACATTATTCAATGCATGGTAGATTTGTAGATTTGTAGGATGGATCTTCTGACGCGACACAAAGAACCAATTCAGAATAATTTAGAATAAAGATTTGCTTTCTAAAAACAAGCAACGATTTTCGATTATCAAGTAAATGTTGCATTTTCCATCTAGTAGTGACTGTAGACGAAATACCAGATCAGGACCTATTACATTGCACATCTATTAATTGAAACAACCGCTTTAGTTTCTTTTCTTTCTCGATACGCTCAGTTTTAAACCCACTGGAGCGACAGGGTGTAATCAATTTCTATTCTATGTCAGATTCTATTAGATCATTTGCAGTGGTGTGCAGTAATATGAATCCATTTTCAGGTGTATGATGAAATTTGTTTGGATTTAAAAAATATTGCCTCATCCGTGATTGCATCAGATTTTCATCACACCCAGGCACTATTGTCTCGACTGTCGATTAGTTGTCCTACGGCTTTTGTCTGCGATGGACGTTA